CTTTTGCATCACCCGTGACCTTTTTCCCTAGTACTCAACATGTTAAATGTGTGTGTGTGTGTAAAGATAAATGAAAGAGTATCTTTACTTTTGTAGGTATCATTACATGGCCGTAGCGGATAATAGGCAAAGATTCATGCCACTTCCAGACGATAGATTACCAGGAAGAGGAAAAGAACTTGCTCCCCCAGAAGCAGTTTTACTTGTGAATCCTATAGAGCCAGAGTTCAAGGGGGAGGTAGTACTTATTCCAATGTGTTTCCTATTTATTGACCGATTATTAGTAGAAAAGCAATTATGCTTCTGCGCGATTAATAGAATTTGTTAATGAGTGATTAAGGTGGATGACAAGTATCAGTACTCGAGTGAAAACAAAGATCTGAAGGTGCATGGGTGGATAAGCTCCGAAAAAGAAATCGAAGCTCCCATGGGGTTCTGGGTAATCATACCTAGCAATGAATTCCGATCAGGGGGACCCGTTAAACAGAACCTCACCTCTCATGTGGGCCCCTTTAGCCTCGCTGTAAGTCAACGTAATAGGGCATTTAATTTTAGTTGCTGCACGGTTATTACTTTATTATCGAGCTTTCAAGGACCGAAACAAAATGCCTTGCCCTGTTTTTGGTGTGTCAGATGTTCTTAAGTGCTCATTATGCTGGGGAGGATCTAGTTCTAAAACTCAAACCGAATGAGCCTTGGAAGAAAGTATTCGGGCCAATCTTTGTGTATCTGAACACTTTGTCGGATGATAAAGACATACGATGGCTCTGGGAGGATGCCAAAGATCAGGTTTCTTTAGCAGACAAAATTTATTTGGTCTAAACAGAAAAAAAGCAGACCAACTTTATTGCACTTTTTAGTTTCTTTCAAGCAGAAAATTATAACAATGAAATCCCGCTAACTGAGGCTCCCCAAATCGGCCTTTTAGATGACGAAGCAAGTTCAAAGTTGGCCGTATGATTTTCCAGATTCAGAGGATTATCAGAAGTCTGACCAACGAGGCAGTGTTTGCGGCACACTACGAGTCCGAGACAGGTAATATAACATCGAACTCCCACATTATCATTGCCCCACAGGATATCAAGTTCTTATTTTTTATAATTAGTTAAAAGGGTTGATATGAAGCTGTGAAAAGCAACGATTTTCAGGTGCCGGAGTGACGATTATATAATGGCACAAGGTGCATATGTAGGACTAGCCCCACCTGGAGACGCCGGGTCATGGCAGAGAGAATGCAAGGTGACCAAAGATCGTTCCCATTGGTTCATGAAATGAAATACTTTGATTACATATACAACTGTAGTGATCATGCTGCGATATTTGCCATCAGGGATACCAATTCTGGACAAGAACAAACGAGGAAGGCTACTTCTCCATTAACAACATACGAAGTGGGGATTATAATCTCTATGCATGGGTTCCTGGTTTCATCGGAGAATACTGGAACAATGTTGTCCTCACCATCACCCCAGGTTCTTTCATTTAATTCTTCATGGGCATGAGTCATTTATACAGGTGTATGATGTGGTCTGTTAATGTTGTATGAGCACTATGCAGGTTGTGAAATAAATGTTGGTGACATTGTCTATGAGCCCCCAAGAGAGGGTCCCACCCTATGGGAGATAGGCATTCCTGATCGCTCTGCTGCTGAATTCTATGTTCCTGATCCTGATCCGATGTACATTAACAAGCTATATGTCAACCATCCAGATAAGTCAGTCCCTCTTTGCGGACGCTACTTATTTGCGTATAGATGAGAAAATTCAGTTACTTTAGTTGGCTTACGTTGGCGTTGTTACAGAAGGCGATGTACACTCTGATGTTGCACTCTGCACGTAAACTCAATCTCAAAAGTTTCAAAATTCACTGGGCTTGTTGTTAACAACATTTGCAGGTTTAGGCAGTATGGCTTGTGGGAAAAGTACACAGAACTATATCCAAAGGAAGATTTGGTTTATACAGTCGGTGTTAGTGACTATAGAAACGATTGGTTCTTTGCACAAGTCACCAGGTCTAGTTCCTTATGACTGCTTACAGTTGCTTTCTTTTGGGAACCTAGATAGCTCAAAAAAATATTTTTACAGAAAAGTTGGCACTGATGAATGAAATACAGGAAAAAAGATGATGGAACTTACCAAGGTACTACTTGGCAAATTAAGTTCAAGCTTGATAACGTGGTAGGAGGTGGGACGTATAGGTTAAGACTGGCACTCGCAACTGCAAATGCAGCCGAATTACAGGTTCATAGTCTTACCAAAAAAAGATTTTCGCTTGTTCCTGAAATATACCATGAATTGGATGAGTGATTTCAGCTTCTGTTAATCTAACTTATAGGTTAGAGTTAATGATCCGAAGCAAAACCCTCCTCTATTCACGACTGGTTTGATTGGAAAGGACAACACAATTGCTAGGCATGGAGTCCATGGACTCTACAGGCTATACAGCATTGGCGTGTCGGGTCGTTTTCTGATCAAAGGCGATAATACTTTATATCTCACGCAGGCTGCTGCTACTGGTCCTTTTGAAGGGATCATGTATGACTATATACGCTTTGAAAGCCCACAAGCCACTAGTTCCCCTTCATAAGAGAGAATTAAAATGACAATGAAGACGCGTTTGTATGAACAGTGTGACCAAGTTCAACTAAAGAACTTCGGTAATGGAGATTACGAATTCTTTACAGTGTTCCATTTTGTTGCTGCAATTATTTGGCTTTTGTTTGTCCCTTTTTGTTTCCACCCTTCCACTAACCTAGACAGTCTAATTCTACTAAGATCAAATTTCTTATATTTCTGTGATGATCAAATATCCAGATATTTCTCCGATGTCCTTTTTCCCCTCACTCGCGTGTTGCACCGTTTTATAAGAGTGATGAGATCCATTTTTTCTGTTTTTTCAATCAGAATAATTTTATAATTTTTTTTAGTAACCATATTTTTTCCTAGCCATTAATAGGGTCAAATCCAAGTCCACAAAATTAGCACCATCTAAGCACATCATATTCTTTGTAAGCATTTTAGAAAATAAAAGGGGCAACTAAAAAGATTCGCAACTAAAAACAGAATTAAATCAGGGGAACTTTCCGCATTTTTTTCCCGCTAACGACGAATAGAAAGGACGGAGGCTTTATTGTACGAAAAATTACAATGATTTATTGAGCTTGGTTTTGGTCGCTTCCGCAGCGTCAGCCGCCGCAACCTGCATCTTCTCAGTCTCAAGCTCCGCTACGGATGCTTCCTCCTCATTTCTCGCCTTTATCATCTTTGTCTGCTTTTGTTAACACAAAGACGGCATGTAATAATGGTAAGAGAGAGAGAGAGTCAGAGAGGCAAAGAAATTACATCCGAATGAGAGGAAAAGAAGTTTTAAGACCTGACCGATGAAGAAGGCTTTTACATATGTAAGGCCTTCCTGCAAAGAAGCTACGACAAGTAAGCAGTTTTTCTTCAGGCGAGACCCGAACGAAGTCGTCTTGTGCTTTCGCTCTGAGTTCATCGTCGACGCTGGGGATGAAGAACCGATCTCTTTCATGGTTTACTGTTTTCGGAGCTCTAGAAATTAGAGGCACCCAGAAGAATCATAAGCAAGCAACTTCGGAAAAGGATGCGCCAGACACGTCTGTGTTATTTCATCACGTGGCAGTTGTTTGCTTTATCCACGTCGTTATTTTTTTGGTTTTCGTAATTTTTTAATAATAATAGAAATTAACATGAAAATCTAATTATAAAATATAAATCTCTGTTCGCTTAAATAATTTATAAATCGTATATACTGTATTGCTTGTTTTTTAATTTATCATCCCACGCGTGGAAGGGCTCTGTTAACAGCTACACACATATATTATCTCATATATTTCATATAAATATTTGTTTGATTTTTATTTTGATCGTAAATATAAAATTTTAATTTACTCTACCCCTTATGTTTATCTACTTTTTATCAAGATGGTCCTTGTAATAATAGTAGTTATAACCAATACACTTAATTAGTAAGGATATTTTAGGAAACACAATATTTATTTATTACAAATAACTAACTTAACTAACTTTCTTAATATATTCAAATTAGTCAACTATTTTTTATATTAAGGACCAGAATTAATATAAAATTCTCATGTACTCCCTTCTATCCTTTGTATAAGATTAATTTGATTTAATTTGGAGAGCTTAAAAAGGTTATTTAAATTAGTTACTTGTAGTAAATAGATCTTATCTTTCTTATAATACCCTTATTAATCATATGTGTCAGAGTTACAAGGAATTACTTGATAGTAACTCTTTAATATATGTAATTACTATAAAAATTATTTTAATGAGAAATAGATAAATATTGGAGACAACGTGAACTAAGATCTTATATTTATGACTAAAATGAATGTCACCCTAACTCTTATACTATGTTTAATATTTAATATAAGAATATGTTTGACTTTTATTTTAATCCTAAATATAAGATTTTAATCTATTTTGTATATCATATCTATCTTTTTTTAAGATAATTTTTATAATAATAGTAATTTTTGTAATAATAGTAATTTTAGGCAATATGTTTTGTTAGTAAAGATATTCTAGAAAAGACAATATCTATTTATTACAAATAACTAATTTTTTTTAATTTACTCAAATTAATCAACTGGTTATTATATTAAGAATAGAGGGGAGATGGTATAAGATTTGAGCAGGTTTTTGTTTCACTTAAGAACATCTCTATTATGCAGCTTTTTCTAAATCGCAAACAATATAATTATGCAGTGAGATCCATCATTAAGGTGATATTTGCACAGTTCTTTCTTTCAGTGATAAGGATCCTTTTGGTTTAAGTTTATGGCAATGGTTTGTGACTATTAACCTCTTGACACTTTTTTTTGTTTTGAAAATTCTGACGTCTATGGGTTGTCACGTGATGCGGATGAGAGAAAAGGAAAAACAAAAATGCAAATCCTATGCGAGGAGATAAACGTCATTGCATCTCAATCTCCACCCTCGCACGATATATACCTCAGCTCCAAATTCTAGGGTATAAATAGCCCCAAATTTGTTTGCTGACTTCGCTACAAGTTCCAAACGTTATCGAGCCAAACGTTAACGAGAAAAGCAGCAGCAGCAGCAGGAAGAGAAAGAGGTGCTCGCAACGTCGCCACCCGATTCGTAATATGAATTACCATTCCAGATCTTCATTATTTTCATTTTCTTGTTGATCCTTTTGCTTATCCTTGCTTCACTGCAATTTAATCAATTTTTGTACGCGGGCCTTTTGGTATGTTGTTTATAGAATCTTCTTCGGTGTCTAATATTGACGTAGATCGCATTCAGCAAGCAGGAATGGCGACGTTCGAACTGTACCGGAGGTCGACGATCGGAATGTGCCTTACTGAGACTTTGGATGAGATGGTTCAGAGTGGTACTCTTAGCCCTGAGATTGCTATTCAGGTCCTTGTCCAGTTCGACAAGGTACTTTGAGAAGGAGTCCAGTTTAATTGCCTTTCTTCATATTCATGCACAATGTGAAATTTTAATTTTGAGTTTGTTTTGACATTTGTTCTTATGTCATGTGGATTGCTAGTCTATGACAGAAGCTCTGGAAACTAATGTTAAGAGCAAAGTCTCTGTTAAGGTAACAATGTTATCGCTCAATTTTGCTTTTGATGCCTTTAGTTCCATGTTAGAAGTCACACTTTGAGCTAGAGCAGATAATGGGGCAAAGTAGTCCTAACTCCTCACTTGTTCCAAGGAATTTGCTGCTGGCATGTTACGTGCCTCATAAGTTTGTGCAACTTGTTCATAACGTCTTCTGGAATTTACGTGCAGATTATTAGTGGAGTTGAGGGAGTTACCCTTACTACTAATCGTTTCATCTTTTATTTAGAAATTCTTGGTTCAATGGTGTCAATCGATAACTTCCTCTAAGTGTTCCCCCAACCCCCCGGGGGTGTTTGAGCTAAGTATTTTGAACTAGAGAGAATGTTGGAACGACCATAAAAGCCTGTGAACATTAGCAGAGTTTCATTTCATGTAGAGTTGTTAAGAATTGAATACATATAAATCATGGTAATCAACAGCATTAGTCCCAATTAAAATAGGAAGTACTTTGATAGAGTTGAATTGCATTGACATCATTCGATGGCAATTTCTATTCAAATAGTTTAGTTTTAATCATTTGAGTCCAATTTTCACGATGTTAATGATAGAATTGTCGGCGCTTGATTGTAGAATTCTGTCTAAGTTGATTGCTGGGGGTTGGAGATTGCCTCTCACTCTTTGGGGATGGACTTTATTTTTGGTTTCCATGTCAACCTTCCTTTGCATATGTGTTTTTGCTTTCTTGTGTGTAGCCTTGTATGGTATTAGGAAGACATTTATGTAGGCAACCATTTTTTGAACTCAATTGACAGACTTTACGGTTTTTCTAGTTGGCATTTAAATTTGAGTATATTGATATTTATTCAACTATAATTTACTCATTTAAAGGCTTGCATTTTTGTTTCAACACAAGTTTTGCCACTTTTGTTTGTAGTTAAATATATAATCTCCTTCTTGTAGACATCTGAAGATAAGCTTTGGGGCCACAGGATACATCTCTTTATTATGATATTATGATTTGCTTATTGAGGGCCCTCCTCTTAAATACTCCCCCCCCCCCCCCCCCAAGTATAGTGAAGATACCAAATAATTTACAATGGCCCATTTGCCTCTAGTTTATTCAAGTTCCTCCTCTATTGTTTCCTTTTCTAACCTTTTTCTTTTTAAATAACAATAAATGGAAGATTTCTATGCCGTTGCTTCACATGCCAGGCTGCTAGAAGGCTAAGACTTTGGGTGTGTGATTTATGAAACCATCCAATATACGACACTTCTGATTAATTCCTATTTGGGCCAAGTTGGACCCCGATTGAGGGGGAGGGGGAGTTCTCTCAATGTGGTTTTCTCCCCTATCCGCAAGGCTCAAACTTGAGACCTTACTTAAGGAGTGTTGAGTCTCTTACCATTCAACCTAACTTTCATTGGTAATTTATGCAATTCTCTGGTGGATATGACATATGAATGGGGATGTCTATATTTTTCTTTGCACATAGATGTCTTATGGGATTATTATGCAATACATCCAATTTGAAAAATGATTTGGTAACTCTGATTTCAATACAATTTTGGGAGTTATTGTACACATGTTATAATAACGAGGTTCTAGTGTTCCCTGGTTGCTCCGACTATTGACTGCTTATCTATATTTCTGCGTGTTTAGCAACAGTTTGTCAAAGAACTAACTAATGGGAAAGTCAAGATACTAATACCTTCTTAAGCCTCCCTTTTTCTTTCATCATGCTCAAACCGAACTTGGAGGGGGGGGGGTACTCCGGCTAAAGCAGAAATTCCTCATATACTACCTCCGGTCCTTAATATATAAGAACTCATTTGACTTTTATTTTGGTCCTAAATATAAGATTCTAATCCACTTTGTCTTTCATATCTATCTATTTTTCTTTAATATAGTTCTTGTAATAATAGTAGTTCTAACCAATACCCTTGATTAATAAGGATATTTTAGGAAAGGCAGTACCTATTTATTACACATAACTAACTTAACTAGTTTTTTTAAATTAATCTATTCAAATTAGTCAATTGGCTCATATATTAAAGACCGGAGGTAGTATGATTTTATTTTGCAGTTCAACAGCTTTCGTCTGACTGTGAAAAATCGATTCTGATATAATTGTTGTCTTCGAGCATGCTGATGAAATCTAAGCTGGATTCTCTTTCTTGTTCATTTTGGAAATGCAGGGCCATCTACATACTTACAGATTCTGCGACAATGTTTGGACCTTCATTCTACAAGATGCTGTGTTGAAGAATGAAGATTGCCAAGAGAATGTGGGACGGGTTAAAATAGTGGCATGTGACTCAAAGTTGCTTTCGCAGTAATTGACACCCGCCTTGTTGTCAACAAGGAGATGTTCTGACACCCGCTTGTGATATTGATGGGAATGATGGAAAATCCCCAGTGGCGGATGGTCTAAATTGTATCAAGTGCTTTGCAGTTATGGGACGTTTTTAGATTTTATGGCCATCAACCTTGACATCTTTAGGAATGTGATGTGAAAGTGAAAGTGAGTATACTCAATGGGTAGTAGATGAGTCTACTTTAGACTTTTGTTGATCATCAATACATGAATCCTTTTGTCTCGTGGGCTTTGTGGTTTAGGAGCTAAGTTATCTGTTAAATCCAAATGTCAAGATTGGTGAAGATATTGAACAGGGGAGGAAGTAAGAGTCATAGAGAAGATATATTTTATGCATTCTGTTCACATATTTCATGAGGTAACTAAATGAAGTTTGATTGCCTTCCTCATAGTTAAAAGGGTGTTTGCATTAGCTTTTTTAAGAAATGATTTCACAGTATATAAAATAAGTCTGAGAATTTTGTCTTGATTGTATAAAAAATATTTTTTTTAAGTGCTTTTACTATTTACCAAACTCTTCCTAAACGTGCTGGACTTGGAGCTCCTGTACACCAAATTTGAATTAACTTGAAGTGCTCAATAATGTAAAAATTAGTTAAAAACAGTGATTTCATCACAAGCTAATATTATGACGCAAACTAATGTGTAGCTTGGATTGACAAAAAAAAAAAACTGTTGAAATTAAAAATTATATACAAGGACCTGTTCATAAAAAATATAGTCAAGATTCATAATATTGTTGTCAAAACACATACTAATATTTTAATAGGTTCTTATTTACAATTTTTTTATTTCAGCTGTCTTTTTCTGTAATTTTTTTCAAAAAAAAAAAAATAGGGAGCGTCTCGCAAGCAGCACCACACCTCAAGACATGAATGCGTTTTTAGGCCAACGTTTCAGCCAAGTGATGGTCTCTTACACTGTTGCTTTAATATTTGTAATTGGTGGCCTAATCTTCCAATTTTTAAATGCCATGTTTTTAATGAACATTCTCATACACTATCATTCTTAAACTTCTATACACTACTTCGATTTTTAATAGATTCTTAATATAAGTCATTTGTGCCACATTCTGGTATGTTAATGAAGGCGTTGAATTATTTTATTTTATTTTTATTAAAACTTTTCTCTCTACATTTACAAATTATTCTTAAATCTCTCCCTTCTCTCTTTTTTCTAATAAAAATAAAATAAAATAAGTATTAAAATATATTATAAGTGACTTATATTTAGGATTAAAACTGTGATATTGGATAATATTGTTTAATACACAAAATGCATAAAGTATTTTTTCCAATCCATGCTCATAATATTCTTGAAACCCTGCTCGCATTTAAACTTAAAAAAAAATCACTTTTTAATAAGGAGAATTATAATAAGTCCCAAAAGAAGAAACATAATTACTAAAAAATCTTAATAACAATTTAAATAACAAGTTTCAGAGTAAAAATAATGATTTTTTAAATTTATTTGGTAGTTATTATTTTTTTAGGACCTCATTATAATTTTCTCTTTTTTTTATATCAATAATAGTTTTTTAAAGATTAAAAATAATTAGTAGTGTTAAAATCAACTGTTTGAATAATTAAATATGCCAGCTTCGCTTGGCGTGAGGAAAACGCTAATGCCAATGAATAAAATAATTTTTTAAAAAATATAATAAAGTTCTACCTAAAAGAATTAAATACAATTTTTTTAAAAAAATCATCAAATTAATATAAAATCTTAAGAGATTTCATTATAAGAAATTTTATTTATTTAATTATCAAATTATTTTTATATTTTTTTAAAAGTATACATTGATAATTGAAAATGCAGTCGTTAATAACTTAAAGTGTAACGATTAATAATTATTGTGATATATATTGATAACTCATATATTACATTTTTGTAATGCCTTGAAAAGATATGTTATTAATATCTATCGCGATAGTTATTAATCATTATATTTTAAGTTATTAATGACTACTCGTTCAGTTATCAACACATATTTAAAAAATAAAAACAATTTTATAATTAAATAAATAAAATTTTTTGTAACAATGTATTTTGACAGAATAATTTAATAATTTAAAAATATTTTTTTATATTTAATTCTTTTCGTGAGATCTTATTATAATTTTCTCATGATTCAATGTGCCAGCTTGCAAGGTTTCGGGTATAAATTCACACTGGTTTGTGGGATTCCTATCTATCGCTGGTGGCAATTGCAGGATAAAAAACTTTGTGCGTGATAATCGATCTTTCCCAAGGAGGAAAAACCGGACCGGACCGGCGGTTTAACCAAAACCGGTAAACGGTCTGAGGTCCGGTCTGGTTTAGCTAAAAAACCGGCCCTCAATCAACCCGGAATGACTCGGAACGAACCGGAAAAACCGGTAAAAACCGGGCAAACCGCCGGTTTTTGGGCCGGCCGGTTGTTTTCTTCCCCCTTCTTTCTTGCTCTCACCTTTCGCCGGACGCCTCACCATTTGCGGAGACAATGAATACTGTAGAGAGACGTGGTAGAAACAGAGCAGATCACAAAGGTGGAGGAAGATAGAACTTTGCTTGCGCCACTCATACCCATAGAAAACTGGAAGACAAGCAAAAACACAATAGAAAGAGTAGAATGAATGGATGAAGTGTACAGAGACAAAATGAGGATAAGTTTGCTGTTTCTTCATTTGAGAAAGAAAGAAGTGAAGAAGGCAGAAGCAATTTGAGAGGCGAAGGAAAATGATGATGCGTGCTCAGAGAGGCAATACTCATAGCTGATAGCCTATTCTACTACTTGTTCACTGTCCAAGGCAAAAAGAAGAAACAAAGCTTGCTTCGTGATGCGCGATATGGGGAAGAATATGGAAAAGGGTGTGCACGTGGGAAGAAGAAAGAGGAAGAAAAAAGAAATGGTAAAAAAATTTAAAACAAAAAGAAAAAAAAGATCTCATTCGGTTACAGGAAAGAACAAAGAAAAAAATAAAAAAGAGAAATGAAAATCATTTATATACATAATATTTTGTAACATGATTACCCATTTAAAAATCAAATATTTTTTATAATTAGAATATGAATATTTTTATCAATTTTAACTAAATTATATTATTTAATTATCACCGGTTTGATTCCGGTCCGACCCGGATCTGACCCACTAACCCTTAAACCAGTGTCTCAACCGGTTTAGTATCCGGTCCGGTTTTTTTGTTCCTTGATCTTTCCTTTTCCCTCGTCGCTTTAAAGGACACGGTTACAGCTGAAGCATCCAGTTCTTTTCCATGACCTCACTAATTTTCAAGTTACAGAAATTCACACCCTACTTTTTGTACTTTAGGGTTTTCAGATCTACGGTTTATGAAGAGATGTTCCTTCTGCAAGTCACAATCAGGAGGGCATCGATTGTTGGATTTTGCTGTTGCGAACACGATTCTCTATGTAATTAAACTTGATATAAGCGGCTAGGTTTCATATAAATGGCATCGTTGGTCTTAGACACTTCGGAACCCAGTTGGTTCATTTTGTCGCGAAGAGGGTTGCAATGGCGTCGTCCAGCGCTGGCAACAATAGTCAGGTCCCTCGAGTTCGTCATTTTGATCTAATAGACGGAATGCAACTCGAGGTAAAAGGGTTCCATTCATTTCTGAACGACGATTTTGGCACATCCAAAATCTAAAATAAATCACAAAGATTAATGCCGTTCGTTCGTTTTTCCAGATTAATATATCTGGATCTGCGGGGAAGCACAACACGAGAATTGAATTTAAGCTCAAGAATTGTACGAGGACTTGGATTCTTCACTGGGGTTTTCTCTTTCGCGGGAATAAGTATGGCAAAAATCATTTAGCATTTTATTCACAAAGAGAAAATCTATATATGTTAATTCCATCGCCTATAGGTTCTGCCGTTCTGGTTAACAACAAATCATCTAAAGGCTTGTTTAAATCTATGAAATACAGACTACGTTATGATTTTTTTTTTTTTAAAACTACGTTATGTTTTTGAACATGACTTAATAACTAAAATTAATCCTTCAAGTTTGCATCAGTTTAGGCCCTTGCTTGAGCAAAATCTATAGATTGGTTTAAAATGACCTATCAATGTTCAGTGGATGCAAGGGTTATATTTTGAAGGCCAGGACGTTAATTGACTCTAATTTGTGTTGGGAAAAAAAGACTCTAATTTGAATGGATAAACAATATTTTCTACCCAATGACATGGCCTCTCCAGGAATTGGTTTATTGCGGCTGATGATTCTTCAGGGGGGAAGTCTTACAAGCATGGTGCTTTGCAGTCACAATTCACGAAGGTTGTCTTTCTAAAATTTGGTTTCCTGATAAAGCTGGTTATAATTTATCCTTCTCATATCGTTAACTTGCAAATATATATATATATGTATGTATGTATGTATGATTGCAGCATGGTCAGATACATGTGGTGATCATTGAGCTGCGAGATCCTAATGTACATGCCGTTGAGTTTGTTTTGAAAGATGGCCCTCACGACAGATGGTTTGCTTCAACTTCTTCTTTTTGGTGGCTTTCAATTTCTGTGTCTGCTACATTGCGCACTGCTTGATTTCTTTCTTTGTTTCCCAGGTTGAAATTGAACCATGGAAATTTTAGGATAGAGATACCTGCAAGTGATGCTCCTATACCTCATTCTAGCACACCAAAGGAACTAGCAGAACACAAGGCGGACTCACCATGGGATACTAAGGGCAGGCCTGTTATCTCACCTCAACCGCAGAAGGTAGTTTAGAGCATTGCAGTTTGAAACATGTGCCTGTTTTTTGTTAGAAAATGTTTTCCTTTTCTCTCTGTTATCCACTGATTTAAAAAAAAAAAAAAAAATCATTTGTCTTCCCATTGCGTTGAGACATTCTAATTAAGAAAATCATTTATAAATGACTTATTTTTTTGTCATAATGAAAAAAGACCATAAAGAGCAATGAGAACAGTTGAAAGATAGAACAAGCTAAGTCCATCAATTCTGGAAGTTGAGCTACTTTGTCATGCTGCTTCAGAGTTGTTACCTTCTGGTCAGCGGATTATCTATTGATATTTAGCTAAACTTGAAGGGAAAGCATAAATAGAGATAAAAGAGTAAGGTTTAAATGTGACGTATTTTTCTATTTAATTTTTGCGGTGGAGTGATCATCTGTTTGTGTTTCAATAACTGTGCTCACCGTTTTTGTATCATACAAAGTGTTGCTTGGTATGATTGATCAAGCAATATTTGTGGATGGAGCAATCAATTAAAGTTTATGTATTTATTTACAAACTTTCGGTCTTGCTTGATATTTTTATTTTGATGCAGCAAGGTAATAATACATTGAGAGAGATCCTGAACCGTTTGTCAAAAGGAATTTCCCTGAATGAGCCCCGCAATAGTTACGCGGCTGGAAATACAAAAGCTGTAAATGGTAATGGGGATCAAGTCAGGAGTGGCATGCAATACTCTTACAAAAGGAAATATAATGTTGAAGAGTGGTTGCAAAGGCATTCTGGAGAGCATCCCAAAAGATCCCATGAGTCAACATCAGCTCTGGTGGATCTTATAGAGACATTTGTGGGTGGAACAGATTTAATCTCATGGCAAAGATACTATGTTCACAACTACGAAATATTGGTTAGTTTTCTAGTATTTGTTCTTGATATGTTGAAAGTTGAATGAATTTTTTTGGCCTCGTTAAACTTGCTGGTCTTTTGTCTGCTCCCGTCTTGTTTCTTTCCAAGTATGCCTATAATCGGTTGGTTATTGAGTGTATGATTGCTAAGCACATACAGGATCTCCTGCCCCATTTTATGGATTTTAATTTTCAATATATTTTCAGTAAACATATTGGTGTATTTAAAAAGTGTTGGCCGTGAGTTACTTTACTTTTGAAAAGGACCTTCTGTCTATTAGAATGGATTTACTAATCTATCAAGTTTTTATAGCTTAGTGCTTCAAAAAAAGAAACATCTAATTTCAGTTATAGAGGAAAGTATCTGTTTTTCCTGTTTGAAGGTGTAAAAATCAGTTGATCCAAGTGTGATACCAAGACAAAAATTTTTATGCAAATAGTTTTTCTTAAAATATCCTGCAGGAGTGGATTCTAAAGTAATTTTAGTCACTGAATTGTAGGGTTTTAATTTCCACAAGGACTAAACTATTTGGTTATAATTTTGGCTTGCATTTTGTTATTGACCTGGTATTAGCTAGCCGAACAATTTCTAATGACTTTCAGAGGGACAAAATTAACTCTTCTTTTTTTTTAACCGTTTCTGTAATTTGTTTGTACATACAGGTATTTTCAAAGATCATAAATGGTGACTATCACATTTTTGTTGCTTCAAACACGAAAGGCACTACGATACTTCACTGGGGTGTATCTAAGTCTTCTCCTTGTGAATGGTCGGTGAGTTATAGGATTTCAGATTCCTAAACATTTAAAATATGGATGTCCATGTTAATTTTTGACTGCTATAAGGACAAATATTTACCTCTTTGTCCGGTTTTGCTGCCAAATGAAGGTACCACCAACAGATATTTGGCCTGAAAACTCAAAACAGGTTTCTGGAGCATGTCAAAGTTATTTTATGGATAAGTTTATAGGAAATGGGTCCTTTCAGGTAATTTAAGCGATGGCATTTTTTTTCATGGTCTAATCTACATTTGCTTGTACTTGTTATTCAGAGGGGAGTATATATTGACTTCATCCCTTTTTTCTTTTGATTTTGCCCTTTCATAAAAGGTTATAGATGTTAATCTGCAGAAAAGGAATTTTGTTGGTATTCAGTTTGTTATCTGGACAGGTGGGTTTTGGATAAAAAATAGTGGGAAAAACTTCTTTGCTGAACTCAAACGAAATAATCCTACTGAGAGGGTAATTTTCTTTTCCTTTTTCTCCCCCTGTATCCCATTTTCTGTTGAATTTATGTGTCAATATGCAGGGCCAAAAGTCCTTAATTTTAACGTGTAGCTGGATGTTGATATCAATTGTGTATTTTCCTGGAAAACTAGGATTTTTCATATAATCTATACTCAGAACACAGCACAAGTAATTAAACTTATTAATCATGTTATTGGCATGCTATTTTGCATCTCATTTCATTGAATTCTATCATATATTTAAAAAAAAAAAAATTGTCAGGTTAATACAGCTGTGGAATGTGACAAGCATGTTGATAACTCAAGATCGACCATTAGGGTGTCCCTCATTCTAACCTGTAGGATTTATACTTTCTTCAAACTATGAGATTCTAGATTGTGATAAATAACTTGTGTCTATTGTACGTATCACATGTACAAATCACAAAAATAAATGTTGTTGCTATAACAAACCAAGGATACACGCACACATGGTCATTATTTCTTAAAGTAGCGATGGTAGAAACTATTAATATGATTTTTTTTTTTTCCATTTGCTCTAAATTCCTAGACGATACATATTGGTCCTATGATATCATTGTTATCCCTACTTGTGTCCGGACCCCTATGGTTTTATTTTAGCAGTTGAGTCAGTTATGTGAATTACTTTTTCTAACAAATTTTGGTCTGAAACGCCTTGCATGCAGTTTAGTCAAGATCTGAAAGAGCTTGTTGTATGGTTGCTCCATGAAATTGCTCAAAGGGAGAAAGAAGCTGAGAGATCTTTGATGCACAGGTGAGATTACGAGATTTATTTCAGTTTTTTCTTACTACAATTATTGTTGTTCTTTTTGTAAGTTTTGAACTGCAATTATTCTCATTGCAGTTCATTTTAACTAGCTTTTTTTGTCCAATGACACAAAGGCAGGAAGAAAACAGTGTAGTATGACAAAATTCTCTATGAAAATGAAAATTGCCTTTCATCATCTACTGTAGTTTTATGATAAATTGTACTCTTTGATATGTTTAATTCTTTACGTTTGTGAAATAGGATTATTCCCATTGGTGTTCTTCTCAGCTATTTCTTTGTAAACTAACACAAAATGGAAGTAGAACATTATTTTGTGGAAAAATTCTGCAAGAAATAGAAAATTGTCTGTGATTGTCTACTCTGGTTTACTAGATTATATTATTTTATTTGCTTATTTTTTCTCAGGTTCAATATTGCCACGGAACTGACAGAGCGCTGCAAATCGGAAGGTGGATTGGGGCTTATAGGAATATTAGTCTGGTTAAGATTCATGGCATGCAGGCACCTCACTTGGAACAAGAATTATAATGTGAAACCACGGTAAAATATAATAGTAAATCATACTTGAATTTCAAAGAGAATTTGTTTATATAGAAAAGATATATACGATAGACTTTTCAGAATTTTTCTTTCAAATGATATAAGCATGGCTGCAGGGGCCTTGAAAATGTTCGTACTAAATTAATAATGCACTTGAATCTGATTACATATTGACGAACTTTAAGCATATGACTTAGGTTTGCTGTTTAACTAATTGCAACTGTTGTTCGTCTAAGCAATAATGCATTTCAGCTAATTGCCTAATATATTTGATTTGCATGATAGTTTCGGTGACACCGGCCTCTGTATTTCCTTTCAAAATAATGAATTGCATGTCATATCCAGTGAAATAAGTGAAGCTCAGGACAGATTTACTTGCGTGCTGCAAAAAATATACCTAAACCAGCCAAGTGATAGGGAGATAGTGAGAATGATAATGGCATGTGTTGGACGTGGAGGGCCAGGTGATGTTGGTCAGAGAATTCGTGATGAAATACTTCTGATTCAGGTATATACAGATATAATTAGTTGCAGGATTAAATTGTCCTTTGCTTAATAAAGGCGCACTAAGTTCTTTATTTCTTTTCAGAGAAATTATGATTGTAGGACAGGCATGATGGAGGAGTGGCATCAAAAGTTGCACAACAATAGTAGCCCTGATGATATAATAATATGTGAGGTAACTGTATAAGAAGGGCATTTTTCTCCGTTGTTGATCTTCTGTTTTCAGGTCTATGGCTAGTGGATGTGTCGAGCTGGCTGGTTATATACTTTCTATAAAATGAAATATATCATTTTCAATGGTATCTACTCATTTATTATTTTAAAATGTTCAGGACAGTTGATAGAGTATGGGAAAGACATACTAAAAGTGCATTTTAATATTTATGATGAGTGTAGCGCTTATGACTTATGAGTGGGGCTACATTTGTTGAGAAGTTATAGAAAATAGGACATTTACAATAAATAATATCTTGGTTTATTTGGATATTGTAGTTATTGACTATTAGAGAATTTCTTAGTACTTGGTGTTCTTAGGCTGTGATTTGGAATCAAGACATCTATGGAATCAAGTTTTCCCTCTTGTCCATTTTGACTCTTCTCTCTTTCTATGGAATCAACTTGTTTTATCAGCAATCTTACCAAAGTTCCCACTCTTATTGAGTAGCACAGTACTGCTATACTGACAATAGCGATCTGGTCTATAACATAAGAATACTTATTACAATTTGTATTTATTACTGCAATAGGCCCTCATACATTATGTAAGGTGCGGTTTCAGAATTAATGTTTATTGGGAAACACTAAATGCAAATGGTCTCACAAGAGAGAAACTTGCAAGCTATGACCGCCCAATTGTTTCAGAACCGGATTTTAGATCTGATTTCAGGGATGATCTTATCCGTGACCTTACTGCATACTTGAAGACATTAAAGGTATGTTTTAGACTTGGATGAGTAGTATATATTTTTCAACTTGGATATCTATCTATCTTAGTTTCATCAGACATTTTATAAACATGATCTCTTCCAGTGAACCTCCTTCGCCTCTGAACTGCTTTGTACAAATTCATTTATCTTTGGCATGACAGGAATATTATATCCAAATTGGAACTAAAAGCAATAGTATGTATGGAGTACTAACACCATTAGAAATTCTTCTCTGTGAACAATAAATCCGTGATATCCTCTGATATAATTTTTATTTGATTAAATTTTCCCCACTATTATCTCATTTTTAATTGTCACAGCAATAAGCCATTGAATTTGTTATTGATATCAAACTAGTGATGATGAAAATCATAGCGCTGATATATTGTGTATTCGTTTACAGTTATCTGAATAATGTTTACTCTCTGTGATAGGCTGTTCATGCAGGTGTTGACCTTGAATCCGCCATTGATGTTTGCTTGAGTTCTTCTTTCAAGGTGATTATTGCAGTTGTTAGTTTTATAAGCTGATTTCTTTCCCCTTGTTCTGATTCATGTCATGTCCAGCATGATATTTGTAACATTTAAAATCTTGATTGCAATCTTGGCCTTGCAGGATGGCACTGTTGAAAAGGCAATCAAACATAGGTCCGCTGCTGGTTTGCCATCAAACCTGCTGGTAATTGCATTTTATTGGCATTTCAAGTCAATTCGTGCATAAAAAGCATGCTTGTCAGTTCTGCGGCTATAGAATTAGCGGTAGATGAACATTACATGTGTTGGTTTGCTCATCTATAACCATATCTTGTC